AGGGGTCGCTATGAATCGGGTCCAACTTGACGGCACATAACAACAAGAGTCAGAATCAACTCGACAGCAACTGGCTTGAGGGTTTTTTTTTTTTTTTGGTAGTCCTATTTAAACCTATTGTTTCACAAAGCTTCATGGTAGCAGCCATTAAATTGAGGAATAGAGATATGGGATAACCATAAACCAAACCAAATGAAACCTGTTAATATCACTGATTCCTACATATGGAAACCCTACAACCCCATGTTACAGAGTAGATCTACTCCATAGGGTTTTCTTGGGTATAATCTTTATGAAAGCAGATTTCCAGGCCTATTTTCTGTGATGCTGCTACGTAGGTTTGAGCCACCAACCTTTAGGTTAGCAGTCCAGTGCCAAGGAACCAACCACAGAGATTGATAAACAAGACTCTGCTGGCTTAGGAACTATAGCCAGAATAGCTCTCTGGCTAAAAGCAAAGAGAAGAGAACGACCTCCTAGGCTTTTGATGAATTTCTCTAATGTTGTAGTCACCTCCTAGAGGTGGAGTAGATCCCTTACCAAAAATTTGATTTGGATATCAAGATAATGGCACACACACACACACACACACACACCAAGAGGGTATGAAAAAGATTTATTACTCACATCATGAGATTTTCTGGGGTTAGCAGGGCAGGCTCCCAAGCAGGTCCCTAAATGCTCGACCAGTTCAGCTTTTACTGTGATTGGGGTGGCGCTGGGGTGAGGGCTCTCGTCTATAGGCCTGTGCTTACATGGTTTGAACTTCCCACTGGAACCAAAGGAGAAGGCACCAGTCTTTCTAATTAGGTTGCCCAGATGTGGGGCTTAAGGGAAAATGGAAGTGGTGAGGCTTGTAAACTGTCAGTGGTCAAACATCAAAACTGGAATCAGATTCTTTATTACAGCCAAATAAACTATAATCTTGGTCTATAAAACCCTTTATTTGTTCAATCCCTAAGGTAATTTCTAGGTCTACAATCTCCACCAGCAGGAAGAGGGCTGGAAAAGCTTTGACACCCCCAGAAGTTTCAGATGTGGCCATGGAGCACAGTGGGCAAGAATGAGTTTCCTAGAGGTCAAACAAGGGGTCATGGAAGGCAAAGGACAAGGGAGTTTCTTCCAGAAAGCACATTCAAGGTTGAGCCAAAGACTTCACTTTCTGCTGGGAAAGGGATCCTTTGCAATCTTGCTCAGCAGGTTTTCATCATGATGTGGGCTTATTCTAGTATTCATTCTTCCCCTTTCCTTTTAGCAATAGAACCTCTCCCCAAAGTTTTCATAGGGCATATCCATCTAGCTAGAGACAGCATTTCCAGACTTCCTTGAAGTTAGGTATAGCTATGTAGTTACTTTTCATAAATGTAATATGAGCAGAAGTGATGGGTGAAACATTCTTAAAAGGAAATTGTTTGCTCCCAACTTACTGTCTCTTCATGGGCTGGAAAGTGGATGTGTTTCTCTGAGCTATTTTCAACGATGGAGATGAACAACACCCTCAGTAATGAGAGAGCAAGATAGACAAATTCTAAGTCCCTCGATTCCCCTCTGCCCTAGATTTTTCAACTACTTCTGGATTGCTATGTGAGCAGGAAATAAGCTTCTATCTTACTTGAATCACCATATTTTGGGGCTCTTTGTTACAGGAGCTTAGTCCATTTTGTAACTGATACAGGAAAGAAAAATATTAAGAACTTAAGCATCTTTACTTTTATGACCCCCAAAATGCCTTCTCTTCTGTTTCTTTTGAGTTTTACTTTGAAAAGTATGAATGAAGAGCCTCAAATTTAACTGGCTGTAATCAAGTAAGACTCTAAAATTACATATGACCGTATGAATTCAATGTGCTTCTCTTCTTTTCCAAGAATCAATCTATAGAACAGAGTGGGCATACTTCTTAGGCCTTAATATAAATGTATAAAACTGATAAATGAAAACTCAGATCAATATATATCACTACCCTATTATCCAACATATATGAATGTCCATATGCCATTAAGTTTTATGCAGTCTCTGTAAGCATTTAATCATATTTTCCCAGAAGATAAAATGAATCAAGTAGATTTTATCACTCTCAATGATAGGTGATGCAAAGAAGACAATTTTCTCTGATGATCAGTTTTGTGTTTCTGTATGCTTTAGAAAGGTTCAGTATGTTGCTAAGACAACAGGGATGTGGAAACAGAATACTGGGATTGAAGTTAAGGCACTCTAGCTGCCTCAAAGGATGTCATAACTAGTGTGTTCAAGGCCTTTCACAGTGTCACCTGTAACACTTGAGTTAGGAAAAAAAAAAAATGAAGATTGCATCCACTCAACACCCTTCCAAAGAGTCTGTGACTCTCTGTTACTTGCATTTTAAAATTATGAAAACACTGGTATGTGGACTAAAGGGAGGTCATCATTCAACTAGTATGTGTCTTTTTTTAAAATCCTGTGGAAATAACAGAAGGAGCTTGTCTTTAAATTCCAATTTTCCTTTGCTCTAATAGAAGCAGGTCTAGAGGTTATCTGAAGAAAGCAAAATGAAACTGTCAGTTGTTCCTCTACTAGAAATTTATCTTTCATCTAAACAAAGGTTTGATTCTACCCACTAAATAAAAAGGATATATGCTGGACATTCACTAAGGCCTGTGACTGACATCTGCAGTTCGGCTTTATGAAGAGATGGTTCCATTAATGAACTTTTGGATAAAGGCACAGGAAGCTTCAGCAGCAGCAGTGTGAAGCTGGGCTGTATCACCAGGGAGGTCTAAGCATATGGAACAACTGCAGTAACCTTCCTGCTTTAATACTGATAACATCAAGGCAAGGACAAAGAAAATGAAAGCAAAACACTTGCACTGATTTTGTATATGCTTTTCTGACCTAATAAATACATAAAACACCAAATTAACTAAGCTGAAGAGTGTCCTTCACACCATGAACATTCTGTTGCCCAGAGATAGAACTCATCAACAATAACATGAACAGATGAATAACAGGAGCCCAGTACTCTTAAGAGCTAGGACAGGCCTTGTTCAGAATCACCTCCCTCTCTTTAGAAATAATCTGTTGAGGAATAATGGATAGGCAAAGGTAAGTATAGGAGGATGTTTTTCCAGTCTCTGAGAGTTCCTCGATGAGACTTGCAGAGTGCATGGAAGATTGAGTCAATAGTGCATATTCTTTTTCCAAACAAGAGAGCAAAAAGGTACTCTTTAATAATGGAAACTGAGGGTCATACAGTGAGATCAAGACTTGTGCAGGAATCCTTGTCTCCAAAAAAGTCTGATCTAACAGATTCAAATGAAACCTGGAGGACCTTTTTTAACCCTGGTATTCTAAGCATAAAAAAAGAAATTAAAAAAGAACACAGACCACTCTATTTTAATGTTTGTAAATAGCATAAATCATAACAGTTTGTATACTACACTGTACAAATAATATACTGTACTTTTCCAAAGAAAATGAACTTCTTATAGTTTCCTGAATTATGTCTACTCCACAGAGCTAATAACTCGACCTGTTAGCCATCACTACCACACACGGAATACAGTCTATATGGTGCCAAGTCTTCAAATTGTGCCTGTTTCTGCTGCCATCAAGGGAGGAGCTTCTCGGAGACCTCTCACGGACCCTTCCATCTCCTGCGCCAGAAACATGGGCTCTGCAGGTGGACTGCTGCCAATGAGTGCAGCTTCTGTGCTTTGCTTTCCACAAGCCCACTCGCTCTTAAGAGAACTTGCGCTTCTTCATGGCTTCTGCCTTGACTGCCAGGCTCTTGGCACAGATAGTCAGGACCACAATGAGAACACCCACCACAAATGTCACCAGAGGCCAAAGGAAGCAATGCAGGAGGACAATCTCATCATGTGTGCGATGCAGGAGCACGTCATCTGGTCTGCAAGACAGTGAAGAAGAGGAAAGAAAGTCAATTGCTTTGGGAAGATACTGAGAACTCGTGACAACCTGGGTCAGACTTGCTTTTCAGCCCAAAGGGAATATTATCACTGAATTTCACCTCCAAGTGAAAACCTCACTCTGACTGTAAATACTATACTTTGTATTTTAAACCCACCATAAAATGGTTTGAGCTCTTAAATTAAGTAATCAAGTAACTGGGGCAAGTTTGCATGTTATTTATCATGTAATTTACATGTTCCAAAATGTCAAAAGTGTTTGTGTATGCCATTGAGTTGATTCCAACTCATAATGACCCTATAATGACAGAGTAGAACTGCCCCATAAGGTTTACTAGGTTATAATCTTTATGGGAACACATCTCCAGGTCTTCTCTCCTGTGGATTTGCAGGTGGGTTAGAACTCCTGACCTTTTGGTTAGCAACTAAGCACTTAACAGTTGAACCACTAAAGCTCCTAATCTCTTATGTTATCCTTTCCTCCATTCTAAGGTGCTTAACATAGTCTACTTTTTCATTCATCTTTTAATGTCCACTAGGCAATGTTGGTTCAAGCAGTCTAAAAATTATTGATAAGCCAGTATTCTCAAATAAACCCTACCTAGTCCTCAGCACTTAGGTAGGGTCCAAATCTTAAATCAGAAGAAAAACTCAGTTAAATGTACCCTTTGAATTTAGTCAGAAAGACAGATGGTATAATCTTCAGGTCAGCTCACCTTCACTATGTCAACTAGAGGATTTTTTAAAAAAATAATAGACAAGTGAAAGGATAAATGTAATGCTTTCTTCCAAGTTTCTGAGTTTGTTTAATTTTTCTAAAAGAAAAATCTGACCACTTTATTATAAACCTTGCAAAGCCTTAGCAACACAGTTCTATCTTATAAATGTGAGTCTCTATTTTTGAAAAGACAAACAGATAATCAACCACATATGCAATCAAGATGTATTGATAATTACTGGTGAGTGGAACATGAAAATTGGAAAAAAGAAGTACTGGTAGTTGGGAAACATGGCTTTGGTGACAAAAATGATGCCAGAGATCACATAATAGAATTTTGCACAAAACATTATTCATTGTAAACACCTCTTTTTAAACAACATAAATGATGACTATACATGTGGAGCTCACCAGAAGGAATACATAGGAATCAAATCAACTACATCCAGAAGGCTGGCTGTTGAAACCCACCAGCCACTTCTCAGAAGGAAAGCTGGGCAATCTACTTCCATAGAGATACCGCCTTGGAAACCCAAGGGGAGATTGCTATGAGTCAGAACCGACTCAAAAGCAGTGAGGTTTTTTCTTTTTTTTTTTTAAAGGCAAATTATTGAATGATGCAGAAAGCATCAAAAGAAGATGGAAGGAATACACAGAGACAATTTCCCAAAAAGAATTGGTCAACATTCAATCATTTCAGGAGGTAGTATGATCAAGAACCAATGGTGTTGGAAGAAGAAGTCCAAGCTGCACTGAAGGAATTGGTGAAAAACAAGGTTCCGGGAATTGGTGAAAAACATCGCAATCTCCATTGAGATGTTTCAACAAACGGATGCAGTGCTGGAGGCACTCACTCATCTATGCCAAGAAATCTGGAAGACAGTTACCTGGCCAACCAATAGGAAGACACCCATATTTGTGCCCACTCCAAAGAAAGGTGATCCAACAGTATGTAGAAATTATCAAACAATATCATTAATATCACATGAAAGAAAAATTTTGCTGAAGATAATTCAAAGCCAGTTGCAACAATATGTTGAAAGAAAACTGCCAGAAATTCAAGCCAGAGTTAGAAGAGGATGTAGAATGAGGGGTATCATTGCTGATGGCAGATGGATATTGGCTAAAAGCAAAAGATATCACAAAGATGTTTACCTGTGTTTTATTGACTATACAAAGGTATTCAACTGTGTGAATCATAACAAATTATGGACAACATTGTGAAGAATGGGAATTCCAGAACATTTAAGTATGCTCATGAGAAACCTATACATACACCGAAAGGTAGTCATTCTGAAAAAGGGGATACTGTGATTTAAAACCAGGAAGGGTGTATGTCAGGGTAGTATCCTTTCACCATACTTATTCAATCTGTATGCTGAGCAAATAACCTGAGAAGCTGGACTATATGAAGAAAAATTCAGTATCAGGATTGGAGGAAGACTCATTGACAACCTGGGATATGCAGATGCCATAATGTTGCTTGCTGAAAGAGAAGAGGACTTGAAGCACTTACTGATGAAGATTGAAGACTACAGCCTTCAGTATGGATCACACCTCAATTTAAAGAAAACAAAAATCCTCAAATCCTCACTACTCAACCAATAAGAAGCATTATGATAAATGGAAAAAAGAATGAAGTTGTCAAAGATTTAATTTTACTTGGATCCACAATCAATGCCTACGGAAGCAACAGTTAAGAAATCATACGATTTATCACATTGGACAAATCTGCTGCAAAAGATCTCTTTGATGTATTTATGAGCAAAGATGTCACTTTGAAGACCAAGGTGCGCCTGACCCAAGCCATGGTATTTTCAGCAGCTTCATATGCATGTGAAAGGTAGACAATGAATAAAGAAGACCACAGAATAATTGATGCCTTTGAATTGTGTTTTTGGCAAAGAATATTGAACGCACCAAGTACTGCTAGAAGAATGAATATATCTATATCAGAGGAAGTACAGCTGAATGCTCCTTAGAAAAGAGAATGGCTACTTTGTCTCCTATACATCAGTCAGGTTATTAGAAGGGGCCAGACTCTGGAGAAGGATATCATGCTGGGTAGAGGGTCAGTGAAAAAGGTGAAGACTCTCAATGAAATGGATTGACACAGTGGCTGCGATGATGGGCTCACACACGGCGATGATTGTGGGGATGGCGCAGGACCAGGTGTGCAAACAGTTTATGTGCTCACTTTTTAATCAAAAAGTTGGAGATTCAAGTCTACCTAGAGGCACCTGAGTAGAATGGCCTGGCAATCTACTTCCAAAAAGTCTGTCATTGAAAACCTTGTGGAACACAGGTCTATTCTGATGCTCATGAGGTTGCCATGAATCTAGCCCACTTGACAGCAATTGGTTTTATTTTTCAATTCCACCATTGGTCTCATCCTTAGAAAGTGAAGATAAGATTCACTCCACAAGCCACGGTCTTCTCATCTTTGGTAATTAAAAAAGAGGGCATGGGAATTTAACTTTTCTTCCATAGGTTTAGCTTTTGCAAGATATTTCCATTTCACTCACAGAAAAATTTGTTCTTTTATTAGTGCAATGATGCTTCCTCTAGAAAAGAACACAATTAGTCCAATTGCCCTCAAGAACATCAATAACTTTAGAGTTCCAGGGCCATACCTGTCCTGAGGAGCTCTCATTAGTCATAGCTGTCATAACTCAGGACCTATTTTCCCAGAAGACTGACAAAGGATGTTGAGTTTTTCTCCTGTACCTAAGTGGATCCATCATGTGTCATTAACAAAAACAGTTTCTGAAGGCTGGCTTTGAAATGACATATCCTTGCCTTTTGTGTTTTTTTTTACATAATATTTCAATTTTTGCACATAAAGTAAGGTTGTTTTTATTGAGATTTTATTTCATATTATTGCAATGAAAATTTGTATTTAATGAATGCAGAATCACTGTAATGATTAAGCAAGTCATCCCAACTTGCAAAGATTATTCCTTTTCCTGAGTTCCTGCAGCAACATCTTGTCTTCAAGACTATGTATGTTAATATACTTGTCTTTTTATAATGTTAGGCCTTTGTCTTATGCCAGAATTACAAGTGGATGGCTTTACAAAAAGAAAATTATTCTCTCACAGTTTAGGAGGCTAAATATCCTAATTCAGAGTGCTGGCTCTAGGGTAAGGCTTTTTGTCTCTGTGTCTCCTGGTTCTAGGAGGTTCCTGGCAGGGACTCTTGGGCCAAAGAATGTGCTCCCCTCCTAACTCTTCCTTTTTGGTGGTAGTAGGACGCTCTGATCTCTGCTTGCTTGTTTAATCTTTTTTATATTTCAAAAGAAATTGACTCAAGATATAGCCTAATCTTGTAGATTGTATTCTGCCCAATCCTGTAGATTGTATAACTGCCACATTGACATCATACAGGTTAGGATTTACAACACATAAGATAATTACATTAGATCACAAAATGGAGGGTAAATATATACTACTGAGAATGATGGTCTAGCCAAGTTGACACATAATTTGGGGGGACACAATTCAATCCAAAACAGCCCTCCAGGGCTATGATTTTGTCATTGCTTGCTATTCCACACATGTTGTTGTTGTCAGTCACTGCTCAGTTGGTGCTCCCATGTATAAAGAATGAAACATTGCCTGGACCTCCACCATCTTCATGATCATTGGGATGTTTGAGCCCATTGTTGCAGTCATTATGTCAATCCCTCTCATTGAGGCTCTCCCTTGCCTTCAAAGCACTCCACTTTATACCTGCTGCCACCAAGTTGATTCTGATTCATAGTGACCCTCTACTTCATCAAACATGGTAACTTTTTCCGGCGATCGGTCTTTTCTGATGACACATCCAAAGTAAGTGAGCTGAAGTCTTGGAAAATATTCTGAGATTCATTGGGTTTTCATTGGCTAATTTGCAGAAGCAAATCACAGGCCTTTCTGCCTAGTCTGTCTTAGTCTGGAAGCTCCCCTGAAATCTGAGTCCACCATGGGTGACTCTAATGACATATGAAATACTGTCAGCATAGCTTCCAGCACCATAACAACATGCAAATCACCACAGAATGACAAACTGACAGACAGCTGGTTGATTCTACACATAGCAGTGAAAAACCAAACCCACTGCCACTGAGTCAATTCTGACTCAGCAACCCCATAGGACAGAGTAGAACTGCCCCACAGAGTTTCCACAGCTATAAATCTTTATGGAAGCAGATTGTTTCACTTTTCTCCTGTGGAGAAGCTGGTAGGTTCAAACTGCTGACCTTTTGGTTAGCAGCTGAACGCA